TGTCCTAGAAGACTCTGTCCAAGAGGACGCTGTCCTAGAAGACTCTGTCCTAGAAGACGCTGTCGTAGAGGACACTGTTTAAGAAGATTATGTCCAAGAGGACGCTGTCCTAGAGGACACTGTCCTACAGGATGCTGTCCTAGAAGATGCTGTCCTACAGGACACTGTCCTAGAAGACTCTTGAGGTCCTCTACTACCTAAGAAGGAATCAAACATCCATCAGTTTGCTTTTCTAGAGAGAAACTTCTAGTATCTCTGATTACGACACAGCAGCTCAGATTTGATCACCTTTTTCTTCCAAAGCTCGTTTCCCAGAAGCAGTTCTGGTGAAACTGAGCATTATTTACACAAATATACAAAACCTTCCTAATTACATCGGCTGCAGTTTTACAACTCCCCTGAACAACTGTGCAGATACTCCGCAGCAGGAGATAATTAGACCCAGCAGCTTGTGCGTTCAGCATTTACTTACATTTTTATGTCTTCATTAGAGGTTATCAGCAGCGCCTCTACTAGTGGCACATACGCATACCAATCGATGTGAATTAATGACGGCACGAACACACAAAGTTATTACTGCAGCAGCCCGGCCTGCCTCAGACTCTCTGCTGATGCTGAGTGTAATACGGCCTCTAACTGCCTGTTAGTTTAGCAGGGAGTCGGCGCCGTGTGAGGCGACTTATCGAGCAGCTGTCAGAAAGTCATTTTCAGATGGAGCTGTGTGAATAGCCTTAAGCCTGCCCCCCCAGTGCCGTGTAGATCTGCATGGACGGCAGAGACAACAGAGTGGGGGGGGCATGGAAATAAGGAAATCATAGGAAGTGAAACAATGATGGGAATCGATTTCTGATCCATCAACAACTCAACATGGATGTTCAAAGTCTCTCTCTGGTTTCAAGCATCACTTCTGGAATATATTTGATCCCTTTGCATTAATTATCAGCAGCATAAGTTGCCTTTCCACACATTTTTATTCAATACGAACCTGAAACACGTAGATCAAAGGAAGGGCTTCAGTTTCTCTCTAAAGTCCAGCTTTGCTCAGCAGAATCCTCAATGAGGACAAAGGAAGGAAGCCAAGTGGCCGACAGTAAAGACACAAACCCAATAAGCCAATCAGCCGTTTTCTGCTGTTTTTCCCACATCCTTTAGAGGGCGGAGCCTAAAACACCAACTTTGACACTTCTGTGAGGTTTTGATTGTAGTGTTTTAAAGCAGCAACTTTTCCATGAGTCCCAGATCAGAGCGTTCCTTTAAAAACGGCTACATGGAGCCAGACATGTTCAGTTTTATAAAGCAAGTT